GGCTGGCAAGTTAGCTCAGTTGATTAGGGCATAGCTTTGTAACACCAAGGTCGAAGGTTCAGTTCCTCATACTGGACAGCCTCCCCCCCAAAAAAACTTTTTTAAAGGCAAAGACTGTCAAATTAGATTTTAAAAAGTAAGAACCACCCATATGCTGCCTACAAGAAATGCACTTTAAATATAAACATACAAATAGGTAAAAAGCAAAAGGATAACAAAGATACATGCTTAAACTAGTCAAAAGAAAGCTACAGAGGCTGTATTGGTATCAGACAAAATACATTTTAGAAAAAATAATATAAAGATAATAATGATAATGGGGACAATTAACCTAGAGGACATGACAATCCTAAACCTCTTCACACCTTGCAAAAGAGGTTAAAAATAAATGAAGCAAAAATCAAGAACTGAAAGGAATAACAGACAAATCCACAGTTACAGTTGAGGACTTCAATAGTCTTCTCTCAATAATTGATAGAACAAGCAGGCATAAAATCAGCATGGTAGAGCAGACAACACTATCAACCAACTTGACCTGATTGACATTTATAGAACATTCCACCCAACAACAAAATACATATTCTTCTCAAGTGCACATAAATCATTTTACCAATATAGACCATATCCTGGGCCACGAAACAAGTCTTAATAAATTTTAAAGTATTCAAGTCTTACAAAGTGCATTCCTTACCATAATGGAATTAAATTAGGAATCAAGAACAGAAAGATCTCTGGAAAATGTCCAAATATTTGGAAGCTAAATAACACATTTCTCAATAAGCCAAAAATTACAGAAGAAATCAAAAAGGGAAATTAGAAAGTATTTTGAACTTAATGAAAATAAAAACATAATATATGACAATTTGTGGGATGCTGCTAAAGATGTACTTAGAAGAAAAATTATAGCACTAAATGCCTGTATTAGAAAAGAAGAAAGATCTCAAATCAATAACCACAACTTCTTCCTTAAGAAACTAGAAAAGGAGGAGGAAATTAGGCCCAAAACAAGCAAAAGAAAAGGGAACTAAAGATAAAAGCACAAACCAATGAACTCGAAAACAGAAAAACAATAGAGAAAATCAATTAAGTCAAAACATGGTTCTTTGAGGTGATCAATAAAATTAATGAACTTAGCTAAACTGATCAAGGAAAAAAAAAGACACAAATTACTAACATCAGGAATAAGAGAGGTGACATCACTTTGTTAGTCTGCCAACATTGTTCTTTTTTCAGAGTTGTTTTGGCTACATTCTAGTGTGCATTTCCGTATCATTTTTAGAATCCATTTGACAATTTATACAAAATGATAGTAATAGAATATTATGAACAATTTTATGGAAATAAATTTGACAAATTACATGGAGTGAAGAAATTTCTTTAAGAAAACAAACTACCAATTCTCATGCAAGAAGAAACATAACCTGAATAGCTCTGTATGTACATTAAGAATTGAAATTGTAGTCTTAAACTTTCCCACAAAAAAAATTCAAGCCCAGGGCCGGCCCAGTGGCGCACTGGATAGTGCGCCGCTTAGGAGGCGTGGCAGCGCTGCCGCCCGAGGGTTCGGATCCCACATACAGACCGGCTCCCGCTCACTGGCTGAGCGAGGCGTGGGAGCAACACCGAGGTTTGCAATCCCATTGCCGGTCCCTGGTCCGGTACGGGGGCAACACTGAGGGTTGCAATCCGTTGCCGGACACGGAAAAAAAAAAAAAAAAAAAAAAAAAAAAAAAAAAAAAAAAATATGTGATATCTATATCTATATCTATATAAAGTATTCCATTGTGTGTATATATTAAATATTAAATCAATGTTTTAAAGTCAATTGCATTTCCATGCACACAATGGAATACTATTCAGCCTTAAAAAAGAAGGAAATCCTGTCATTTGTGACAATCTGGAAGAACCTGGAGGATATAAGCCAGGCACAGAAAGACAAGTACTGCATGATCTTCCTTATGCGTGGAATCTAAGAAACTTGTACTCCTAGAAGTAGGGTAGAACAGGGGTTGCCAGGGGCTGGGGTGGGGGTGGGGAAGCGGGAGAAGGTGAGATATTGTTCAAAGGGTACAAAGTTTCAGTTAGGTTGAGTAAATTATGGTGATCTATTATACAACATGGTGACTATAGTTAATATATATACTGTACTTGAATATTAAACTCTAACATTTAAGAAATGATGCCAATTGTATAGATTCTTCCGAATGATAGAAGAGAAGGAAACACTTCCCAATTCATTCTATGAGGCCAACATTACTCTGATACCAAAGATAAAGACATTAAATAACAACAAAAAACCTTCAGACCAATATCCCTTATAAACACAGATGCAAAAATTTTAACCAAAAATTTATCAAACTGCATCTATTGAAGGCTGAATAATGCCCCTGCCCCCCAAAGATATACAAGTCCTAATCTCTAAAACCTTTGAATATGTTACTTTACATCATGAAAGGGACTTTCCAGATGTGAGTAATTTAAGGATCTTTAGATATGGAGATTATCCTGGATTATCCCAATGCACCCAGTGTAATCACAAGAGTACTTATAAGTGGGAGGCAGCAAGATCAGAGTCAGAGAAAGGTGTATGGATGGAAGCAGAGGTCAGAGAAGAGAGATGTTACACTCCAGTTTTGAAGATGGGGAACAGAGGCATGACCCTAGGAATCTAGGCAGCCTCTAGTAGCTGAAAAACCAAGGAAATTGATTCTCCCCTAGAGTGTCTGGAAAGAGTGTAGCCCGGCCAAAATTTTGATTTTGGCCCAGTGAAATCCATTTGGAACCTCTGACCTTCAAAACTGTAAGATGATTAATTTGTGTTGTTTTAACCCACTGAATATATGGTAATTTGTTACAGCAGCAATAGGAAACTAATATTCATTGCTGTGGATTGATTGAATTGTGTCCCCAAAAGTACATATATTAGAAGTTTAACTCCCACTGTAACTGTTGAGGATGAGAAATCCTATTATGGTAATTGAAAGGTGGGGCCTTGAAGAGGTGATTAGATGTAGGACCATACCATAGTGAATGGATTAATAATGGTGGTCAGGGGCATGGTTCTGAGGGCTTTAAAAGAGGAGCATGTGAGAGGTTAGTCTCTCTCTGCTCTGCCATTTTCTGCCATGTGAGACCCCTGGGTCACTGTCACCACCACCAAGGCCTTCACCGAATGTGTTCCCTGGACTTTGGACTTCCCAGCCTCCAAAACTGTAAGCAATAAATTTTGTTTTCTTATAAATTACCTAGTTCCAGGTATTTTGTTATAAGCAACAGAAATGGACTAATGCATACATCATGACAAAGTGAGGTTTATCACAGGAATACAGGGTGGTTTGACATTTAAAAAATCAATCAACATAATTCACTAAAACAAACCACATAAAAACAAACTACAAAAGAAAAACCTAGGGCTGGCTGGTTAGCTCAGTTGGTTAGAGCGCAGCCTTATAACACCAAGATCCCCGACTGGCCAGCCACCAAAAAGAACGAAAAGAAAAACCATGTGATTATCTCAACAGATGCATAAAAACATTTGAAAAAATCCAACATCTGTTTCTAAAAAAAAATCTGTGGCACCTCATGCTACTAAAGGGCAATACAAAAAACCTACAGCTAACATATTTAATAGTCAAAAACAGGATACTTTCCCCGTAAACTCAGAAACAAGACAGGGATGCCTGTGCTCACCACTCTTATTCAACATAGTACTGGAAGTCCAGACACCACAATAAGGCGAGTAAAGGAGATATAGGCATAAAAATTAGAAATGAAGACATAAAACCATCTTTATTTACAGAAGACATGATTGTCTGTGTACAAAGCCCAATGAAATCTACAAAAAAGCTACCTGAACTAAATGAATTTATCAAGGTTGCAGGATACAATATCTGCACACAGAAAACAATTGTATTTATTTTTACTTTTTTTTTAAGATGACTGGTAAGGGGATCTTAACCCTTGACTTGGTGTTGTCAGCACCACGCTCACCCAGTGAGCGAACCGGCCATCCCTATATGGGATCCGAACCTGTGGCCTTGGTGTTATCAGCACCACACTCTCCTGAGTGAGCCACAGGCCGGCCCAACAATTGTATTTTATTTATTAGCAGTGAACAATTGGAAATTGAAATTTTAAAAATACCATTTACAATAGCATCCAAAAATATTACTTAGGGATGTCTGAAAAAAAAAAAAAAAAAGATGTGAACGACCTGTACACTTAAAACTACAAAATATTGCTGAAAGAAATTAAAAGAAGCCTAAATAAATGGAGAAATATACCTTGAACCAGAGACTCAATATTTTTAAGATGCCAATTCTCCCCCACATCTATAGATTCAATGCAATCCCAAATCTCAGCAGGATGCTGAATGTTCCCGACACAAAGATGTGACAAATGTTTAAGGCAATGGATATGCTAAGTACACTGATATGATCATTGCACACTGTATAAATGTACCCAAATACCATATTGTTCTCCATAAATATGTACAACTATCACAGGTCAATTAAGAAAAATTAAACTAAAAAGAAAAAAATTCAAACAAGATTAGAGTGTACCAGGAACTTGGGGAAAGGAATAATGAAAAGTTATTGCTTAATGGGTAAAGAGTTTATGTTTAGGATAACAAAAGTTTTGGGATAAAGGTAGTGGTTACATAGCATTGTGAGTGTAATTAATTCCACACAATTGTATGCTTTAAAATGGTTAAAATGGAAATCCTTATGTTATACATATTTAACCACAATTTTTTTTTAAAAAGGTGGGGCCTTTAAGAGGTGATTGGACTGTGACTATACCCTAATGAATAGATTGATCCATTTGTGGAGCAATGGGTTAATGGTTTAGTGGGCTGTCACAGGAGTGGCACTTGTGGCTTTATAAGGAGAGCAAGTGAGCAAGTTTAAGAGCTCTTGCCATCCTCACCATATGATTGCCTGCATCACCACAGGACCCTGCAGAGTTCCCATCCCAAAGAAGGTCCTCACCAAATGCATCTCCTGAACCTTGGACTTCCCAGACTCCAAAACTGTAAGACACAAATTTCATTTCATTGTAAACTTTTAAAAAACTGACAATATTAAGTCTGAGAGAGGATGTGGAAGTAAAATTTTCATACACTGATAGGAATGTCAAATAGTAACAGCCACTTTGAAAAAGTTTAGCAGTTGTTTTTAGAATGTTAACATATACTTACCATATATCCCAGCAATCCTACTCTAGAAAAATGAAGAAACAGAAAGTTGCACAAAATTGTTTATAGCAGCTTTATTCATCACCCACAACTGGAAAGAACCCAAATGCCCCCCACTTCAGATGCCAGTCACAAGTCCCGGCCTCTGGAACTTCTGACCAACCAGCTATAAAATCAGGGTTCCCACAAGCTCCTCCTTGGGTTCGATTAGTTTGCTTGAGCGGCTTACAGAACACAGGGAAAAACATACTTACGTTTACTGGTTTATTATAAAGGATATTAGAAAGGATACAGATGAAGAGATGCATAGGGTGAGGTATGGGAGAAGGGGCTCGGAGCTTCCACGCTCTCCCCAGGCACAACAACCTTAAGGAACACCTCCCTACATGTTCAGCTCTCTAGAAGCTCTCCAAACCCAGTTCTCTTGGGTTTTTATGGAGGCTTCATAACATAGACATCACTGATTAAATCACTGGCTATTGGTGATCAACTTAACCTTCAGTAATTCTTCCTCCCCAGAGGTTAGGGGGTGGGACTCAAAATCCTGCCTTTGTCTTTCCTATGACTGGCTCCCATTCTGAAGCTACCTAGGGGCTACCAGCCATCATTAGCAAACAAAATGACTCATCACTTTGGAATTTGTGAGGATTTTAGAAGATGGGGATGAAGACCAAATACATATTTTTACAATATCATAAACACTATTATGTCAGGAGAGTTTGATAATGACAGTGTGAAATAAGTTGGACCCCACCTAAGGGGACTCTTAAGAGTATAATTTTAGCAAGACACTACTAGTTTTTTAAACCAAAAAAGAGACATTTAAAGGACTTGATAACAGAAACTGGCACATAGTAGGTGCTTAATCAGTGTACCTTTGTAAGGAGGTTCTACAATGCAGAGAAATGGGCCTGCATAGGGTTTTAATCACACTTGGGTTCCAATCCTGGCACCACCACTTAGTATGTAGTCTTGGGCATGTCTCATCAACTTTCCAACCCTGTTTTTTGGGGGGTTTTTTTGAGCCTGTTTTTCATATCATATGGCGAGACTAACCTTACTGGCAGAGCTATATTGAGGGTTAAAGGAGGTAACCTATCCCCAGGGCTTGGTGTAGTTTGTGCTCAATTCTCTCTTTGGCTGCCCCTGAATGAAGGAGCAGTCTGCACTTCCCTGCCCAAACAGCCTGCAACCAATGGCTTTCCAGTCCCTGCCACGTGGCTCCCCTCTTAGGATCCAGATAGGTAAACTGGGTGCCAGCATAGAGGCAGAAACAAGGCAAGGCTAAGATGCAGCTGTGTGTCCGAAGATGGTCTGGAAGTCTACGGTAGGTGGCAAAGATAGATGTAATGCAATGTCCACCTCCTTCAAATGTGTCAACTCAGGTAGACTGCTGGCAACTGAACTCATGTGCATAACCCAAAAAACCCCTGGAAAAGTGAGAAGATTGTATTTGGGTTGCAATCATCCACCCCAGTCCCTTTCTGAGAGGCCAACACTGCTTGGGCCCACTGCCTTTGTCTGATGGGGTAAACTCTCCCAGAGGGAGCTAATTATACTTTAATGGGGTGGCTTCCAGACACTGCAAAAGGAGTTGGCTGGTATACCCTCAAATATAGCAGCTCTTATGGACACAGCCTGCGAATAAATGGTACCAGAATCCCCTGAATTAGGGAATTCAAATACATGCACTGGATGAGACATGTTCATACAAAGGAAGGGCCCAGCCAGAGTACTTGAGTTAAAGGGGTTTCTCCAATTCAGTCTGTCTAGAAATGCCCAAAGATGGGGCTTGCCCCAAAAGTGCCCAGCCTCCCTATCAACAGGTACCTGTCAGGTCTGCCACTGGCCAACCCGAACAGCCCTAGCCTTGTTCCTTTTGGTGGGTGAGCGAATGGCCCGGATTCCTCTTTCCCTCCAGTCCCCTTTGGAAGGAGACAGGGGAAGAGAGCTGTGAAGAGTGGTGAGCACAGCCGCCAGCCCTAACCAGCCCGGTTAAAGGACACTCAGACGCAGCGGGGGTTCTGTCGAGCAGTTCCGTTTATTATCACACAAGCACTTGCTTTTATAGGCAGATGGGGAGGGGAGGTTTTAACATAATCCTATCAGCTTAAAGGTCAAGAGCATGCATCCTGTCTCAATGCCTAGCTATTGCAATCACGCAGTGTTCACGAGTGTGGAAGCACATATTTGGCCAATAAGGGCTAAGGCAAGGTTCCTGCAGACACTCCCACCCTACTTCCTCCTGGCGCCATCTTAGGCTGCCACGTTAATACGCCCTTGTGGGCCCATAATGGCGCTGCTTGTAATGTCACTTAAGGTGGCGTTAGTTTTTAAGGCCTGACAGGTACCTTGTTTTCTCTTCGTCTGAACAAGGTAGTGCGTACAACGCTTCAGCACCAGCCAGGTTTATTTGTTCTCTTCTTCCCTCTATCCTATCCCCAGACCCTTCCAGAGACACAGAAGGCTCACCCAAGTGAGAACCTGTGGACTTGGAAGATGCATGGCCCAAAGCCCACCACAGGAATGCCTTGCCGCTGAGATCTCTCGCAGAGTGGTAAAAAAATCAACACCCTCCCAGGGACCCCCAGGTCTACCATCACCCTAGCCTCTAGTTGCACATTCAGCTGTCCAAGAGGGATTTTTCAGGGGATCAACCCTCAAACTAGCCCAACCTACAGGGTGGGACTCCAGGATTGAGGGTGGGGGGTAAATTGTTAGCACCTGGGCTCTGCTGATTGTAAAACAGAATAAAGGTTAAATAAAGCTTACTGGGTTTGGCAGCTCCAGCCTCTTGGGAGTCTGTTTTTGCAGGAGAGAATGGAGGGAAAGGGAACACAGGGAAGGAGAAAGGTTCTTTTCCTGTGAAGATGCTTCAGGGAGAACCAAACTATTTAATCTGTATTCACCTATCCCACTGGAACTAGTGATTGGAGGGGTAGGGAAGTGAGATCAATCAGTCACCAGCACCGTCATCAGTGTTGCCAGAGAGGTCGAGGACAGACATCATGGAATCAGACAGCTTGCTGGCGATTTTATCTGCAGATGGAGAAACACAGGCAATCTCTTGGTAACTGGCTTGCCAACAGGTGGACTGCCAGACCTGGCCCACATCTACCTTGGTCTGCATCAAACTCCCAAACTGGCTCACTTACCCCCTAAACACTAAACAAAATAACTGGTGGGCTGTTAGAAGGCACTGCTCAACCTCACGAGTAGATCCGTTTGTCTATCTGTGAAATGATCACCCCAACAAAGTGTCAATCTCTGGGTTTCAGACTCACTGAGCTCCAAGTACTTTTGTCCTTGCAAGTATCAAAACAGTAATTTTCTTATACTGTGCTGAACTTATTAGCACTCTGCCATTACCCTCAAAACAAAGCTCTCACAGCAAAGGGGCAGCATGGCAGTAAGGACTTTGAGCTTAAATGCTCTCCACTTAAACCTCCCACCCGTCAGACACATCCTGTTGTTCCTCAGGATTCCCCTAAGACTTCACCTCCTCTAAGAAGCCTTTTCTGATCATCCCTACTCAACCACCATCCCCAGGTGGGGTTAGGTTCCTTCACTGTGTCTTCAAAGTGATCACTCTGTGCTGCAAATGTCTGTTTTCTCGTCTCCTCCCCACTCCCTAATATAACTAGGAGTTCAAGGGAAATTCACCTCTGGGTTTCCAGGACTCAGGGTAGAGCCAGGCCAAGAGTGTAATATTTAGTTATGGAACACAGTTCAAAGACTAGGGCTGACAGGGCCAAACAACATTTGGTTTACATTTTGGCTGCATCAATTACTAGTTGTCTTACCTTGAATGTGTCATTTAATATCTCTGGGCCTCAGTTTCTTCACTTACCAAATGAGGATAAGACTTTTGTGATGAGTTAGTGAAGATAAGTATAGCATGGAGACTTGAATGGGCTAGTGACATAGGAACCACCATTAAAATGAAGGGAAGAAGTTCTTTTGCATACTGACATGGAAATATCCCTAAAATATACTGATTGGAAAATGATGGCGCATGGTTGGCCAGTTAGCTCAGACGGTTAGTGTGCAGCCTTATAACACCAAGGTCATGGGTTTGGATCCCCATACCAGCTAGCTACCAAAAAAAAAAAAAAAGAAAAGAAAATGATGGGCAAAACCATATGTTCAGTAGCATTTGTGTGGGAAAAGAACAAAGAATACATAGATATTTGCTTGTTTAACTCAGGAAAGAGACAAAAGAAACTAATTAACTGGTTGTCTATCAGGAGAGGCATGGATGACTAGGGCATGAGAGAGATTTTGCTGTGTATCATTTGCATACCTTTTGGATTCTGAGTGTATTGCCTATTGATAAAGTACACATTATATAGAGCCTGCAAGTCACCTAATATATAGAAAGCACCTCATAAATAAATAGTAGATATCTGATACACAGATGAGGCCAATGGTTCCCCAAGTGTGGTTTCCAGAGGAACAGCATCAGCTAGAAACCTGTTAGAAATACAAATTTTCAGGCCTCATAGCTGGCCTACTCAATTAGAAACTCTGAGGGAGGGGCCCAGAAATCTGTGTTTTAACAAACCCTCCAGGCAATTATGCTGCAAGCTAAAGTTTGAGAACCACTGTGCTAGCAGCTAAGCCCACTAATCCTAGCCTCGAGCTGGACATTTGCTCATTCAGGAGCCCCTAACCAAGGCCATTTTTGGAGCACAGGGATGGTCAGGTGCCCCCACCTGTACGCTTCTGCATTTTCTTCTTATTCTTCAGGGCAGATGCCAGAGCCTGGCCCTGCTGCAGTGGGTCCGTCTCCATGATTCTCTGCAGCATCGGGCGGCGGTCCACTAGGCAGACATCCATCACACTGTTGTTCTTGGGGCAGTGTTCCACATTGCGTTTAGCCCACCCCATTTGATGATGGTTCAGATTGGTGCAATACCTAGTAAGATCTCCAATCTGAAGGGAGAGAGGACAACAGTGAGGTCTTGACCCCCAGAGTATCTCCAAAGGCTTCTGTAGAGGAGGCAGGGACAGGCTTGGGTAAAAATAGGGAACCTAGAGCCATGTGTTAATAAGCTCCAATTCTGACTCCACCATGTGCTAGCAAGTGCTTAGTTAACCTCTCAGCCTCAGTTTGCTCATCTGTCAAATGGGGATGATAATGGGTAGCTTGCATGGCTTTTACAGGAAAATGAAAAAGAAGAGTTATTTGACCAATGACGATTGCTTTTACAATGATTCTTTGCTTATGTGACCCTTCAAGGTCTTATTCAACTTAGCAAATATTTTCTGACATCCATTTTGCACCCAGCTCTGTGTGGGGCAATGCTGGGGACAAAGAAACGAGACAGACTCAATTCCCCCTTTAGGGAGCAACCAGGCTAAAGAGGATACAACAATCTATACTACAGTCAAAGTATGGTTAACAGCCCAATACAGAAACAAAGGATCAGTGACTGAGAGGTTGGGGGCAATGGTGATGGTCAACATACTAATGATGGGGAGCATCATTCCTGACTGAACACTGGAAAAGCACAGAGTATATCTGGGCACCAAAAAGGGTGTCTGTTTGGCAGGAGTGAAAGATACATGTACGCAGTAAAAGCCAATATTGACCAAAAGCTTACCACATTGCCAGATACCACTCTAAGCATATAAACTGTATGCACATATATATGTGTATGTACACACATACACACAACACACACACACATATTAACTCATTTGATCCTTGTAACAATGCTATGATGGGGCTGGCTGATTAGCTCAGTTTGTTAGAGCACGGTAGTGATAACACCAAGGTCACGGGTTCAGATCCCTGTACCAGTCACCAAAAAAAAATTTTTTTTAAACAAACAAGGCACCTAAGGTTACATAGTTAGTAAGCAGTGGAGTAAATTAGAACCCAGGCAGGCTGGCTCCAGAGCCCATATGTATGACCACCCACTACCCTATGGTGGGGAAAAGGCAAGATGGGGTGAGACTGAGCAAAGCTACCAGTGTACCACTCTGGAGTTCGGGCAGGGGGTTGGGGGAGGGCAGGCGTCACTCACAATATAGTATACCAAAATGGTATCTCTCAGAGTTGTGCGATGCGGTGGCCCTACTGAGGACCCTGGACCTAAGTCTGGAACTTGCTGTACAGAGTGGGGTACTGTAGGTTCTTGAGGTTTTTAAAAATGGTATGTTCTGGGGCTTATGGCCTCAGTGAGAAATATTACTGGGGGGAGGCCTTAAACACACTATACACTGATTTTCCTTAAATCCCAACAGGGGAACCTCTGAAACTATGTAAGGATGAGAATAGTGTGATTCTTGCCACTGCCCAAGTTCAGACCTCATCTCTTACGGACCGACTATAGGCTAGTTTCCTCTCTGGACTCCCTGCCTCCAACCCTGGAACCTTTCTTTCTAATCTGACTCCATACCAGTTGATCACTCTGGCAGCCAGAGTGATCATTCTAATATACGAACCTAACCATGTCACTTCCCTGCTTAAGAAACCCTTCTAGATATTATGTAGCCATAAAAAATAAAGGACAGCTCTTTAAGTAATGATGTGGAACAATCTTCAAGATGAAAAGTGCAATAAGCACTTTTGTAAGTGAAATAAGCAAAGTGCAGAACAATATGAATAGCATGCAACTATTTAAATTAAAAGTTATGCATCTGCTTGTGTGTATATATGTATTTACATAAATATGGAGTAGCTCTGAAATGACATTCAAAAGTCTGCTAATAGTGATTGCCTCCAAGGAAGGAAGAGGGAAGCAAGGAAACAGAAGTAGGAAAGAAACTTACTTTTCACTGTGTACCCTTTAGTACTTTTTAAATTTTATACCAGGTACATGTATTACCTAGTTAAAATAAATTTTTAAAAATTTTTTAAATAAAATAAATAAAAAACCTCTGATCCAGAAAAAATAAGCAACTTTCAATGTTTTCCTACTACCTATGGTTTAAAGTCAAATTCAAGGCCTTCTGTGATCTGACTTCAGACTCATCTTTCCCCACCTCCCACCCCACCCATTCCCAGCAATTTCCCCAAAACACCACGCTCTCACCTTCTAGGCCTCAGCATGAGCAAGGGCTGAGCCCCTGCCACATGCTGCTGCACCCTCTGTCTAGAGGACTCCTCAGCTTTTAAGACGTGGCTTAACCAAGACTTCCCTGACCCACAGGCAGTATGGGTCTAGGCCCTCGGATCCATGCTCTACCAACCTCCACCTCCACCCCATGCCTCCCATCCGAGTGCAGATGCCTGTGTCTGAAATCCACTAAACTATGAATGTCTGAAGAGCAGAGATGGGGGGACTGGCGGAAGAAGAAGCTGAGAAAACCTCCAGGAATTGTATCACGCCATGCAGGTCTTGAATAGCAGGCCTCAGGAGTATGAACTTGATCCTGCAGGTGCTGGGGGAAACTCCATGAAAGGAATTTAAACAGGGGAGGTGACACGGTCAGATTGGGCCATCAGAACCACAGCACATATGTTCAGGTGAGTGAGGACTGCCTAGGGTGAGTTTAGCCTAGGGTTATAGGAATGGTAGGAATGAAAAGAAGCTGACAATTTCTCAAGAAGTTTAGGAGAGAAAAGCCACAGGACTTGGTGACTGACAGTGTATGGGATCCTGGACACTAGCTAGAGGGAAGGAAGAGTCGTTTGCAACTTGGACAACCAGGTGACTAGATAGTGATAATTGTTCCATGGGCTGGAAGCAGGGCTGGGAAAACTGCTGAGAGTGTGCCTCCCTTGACCTGTCATTGTTTGACAAAGGATGTGCCTGGTCAGGTATCCAGGAGCTCACAGGGAGTGAGAGAACCACCCACATCTCACCACCTCCTAGGAGCCAGGCAGAAGGGACTGACCACTTCCCTGGGTAGAGGAGAGTGTTGTCATGAAGAAAGGGGAGAGGTACCTTATAGACGGTTGTTTTATTTTCAATGGCATCTGCTATTTTCACCATCGGAGAATGGAGCCACTTGATCTCCACTTCGCGTGGGTCCGTGTCACCCAACAGTTCATCAGATTCTCCAGTGGCCAAGCCTTTAACACAACCAACACCAGTGTCAGGGCCTTGAGTCCTCCCTGCTGCCAGCCCCCTGGTCAGGCCTCAGTGGAAAGGAAACGTGGATGCTGCCCAGGGGAGTAGAGTGGGGGAGCTGTTCACTCCTGCTGAGAGGCCACATGACAAAGGATTAAAAGCATGGGTTTTGCAGTAAAACACTAATGGGAGCTGGCCTCGGAGCCTCAGTTTCCTCATCTAGAAAACGGAAATTCCACAAGCCCTATTCACACAGGGCTGCTGTGAGACATGACAGAGGACACCTGTATGCTCTGGCGCAAGATGTTATTCTGAAAATGGCAGTCACTGGCATTCCCTGACCAGGACCAGGACTGTCTCCTCCTCCCTCTGGCCCCTTGCCTGGAGATGGCCTCCCCTGTAACCATCAGATATGCCCACTGCCCTGTGCCCACACTGCCCACATGACTGCTTCTACAATTTTGCCCCCATTCCCTTCCCTGGGCCTTCTAATCCCTGGTCACCCTTCAAGATCCAGCACTAGGGCCAAATCCTGCAGGAATCCCTCACCTCTAACCTCTCCTACCCTCTTCTCCGTTTCTCAGACCTCGATCTTTTGCCAAAATGCACTCTCAGTGATGGAGCCCCTCTTGCCCACACATCTGGCCAGAGACAAGCATCATCATCAGAACATGAGCTCAAATCCCTCTCAATTGCCCACTTCATAGAAGAGGAAACTAAAGTTCATAAAGGGGGCTGGCAGGCCCAAAGCCACGTGGGGAATAAACTAGGAAGTGAACAAGTCCTCTTATCCTCATTTGTAATCCAAGGACATTAAAATACCCAGAGAAGGAAAACTACTGGCCCTCAAGAGAAACAGAGAAACTAGAAGCCAGGGCCAGCCAGGGCTTTCTCAGCTACCACAGAGTGTCTACAGACAGGCCCAGAGAGCACTGGGCACCTTACCTGTGTGGGGTAGAAAAGGAAGTAGGAGCCCCAAGCCAGGGCTGCAGAGGGTAGTGTCTGAAGAGAACAAAGTTTCTGAGGAGTTTCTGAAAGTCACACCTCTGTATTCCAGCAAAGAATCATCTTAATAACAGCTAACATTTACCAAGCATTTATTTACTATATGCTAGGTCATATGGTAGATCTAAGCGTCTTTTACATATTAAGTAAATCCTCACAACCACCCTATCAGGTGGGTGCTATTGTCCCTGTTTTATAGATGATGTCATTAAGACAGGGAGAAGTGAAGTAACTTGTTCAGCATCACACAGCTAATGAGGAACAAAGCTTGGATTTGAATCCAGGTCGTCCATATTTTTAACCACTACTACTCTGACCTGAAAGAGTCTTAGACAACAGGGCAGGAGAGCTGGTTCAAAGGCCACCTCTGTCTGCCTTATCTATATGTCTTCTGGCAAATATCACCTTTTTGTGACTTGGATACCTTGCCTGCCAATGAGGGTAAAAAGGAAAATCTAGGAATGAGCCTGAAATGGCTGTGAAAAATCCTAGAGCAATATTAGAGAAAGAGGTTTGGAAAGAAATGTCTCAGTCCATTTCAGGTCCCGAGTTGGGAAGGGAGCCCCACATTTCCAGAGCACCTCAATGGGTACCAGGAACCTCGCTGATTTTTCATCTACCAAAAGCTCACAAGCCCCTTCCCCCACAGCCCAGATTAGAATTCTCCACCTTGCAGAAGAAATTAAGCATAGAACTGGTTAAACAACTTGCTCAAAGCCTGATTAAAGCCAGGGAAGGGGCAGGTCAAATGCGGGATCTGCTATCAAGTCTATGTACCTCCAGCAGGATAAGACCGCATGCACCACCCCCGCCTACACTTACATTCCATGGTATCTTCATTAGCTTGCTCGGTATCCTCAATGTCAAAGATCTCAGTCATCTCTTTAACAATCTCTGCACTGAGATGGGCGGGCAGAGTGTGGGTGGGTGGTGGTTGTGTATAGAAGCTGATCTTTCCGCTGCATTGGGTGGGGGGAGATCAGTGGTGATGTTACTGAGAAAAAAAATGACCACTCAAAGAGAGGGTGACTTGCAAGCCAGAAACAGTAAGGGACAACAAGAAAACCCAGGCGGTTGCTGCTGAACAATAAGGGGTTGAGTTGCTGGACAATCACTGGGAATAAAGTCTCGAGCAGGACATGACCTGGCGCCTTGGCCATCCCTGTCCTGGGACGCAGGAAGTCAGGCTGCCCCACTGGCTGTGGTGAACACAGATGAGCCCACCTGCGAAGTCAGACTCCCAGAGGGCCTCACCCTTACCCTAAGCCCCTCCTCACCTCACCCAGTCAGCCAGGACAGCTTTGGCTGCCTGCTCCTGACTGTATAAGCCTCCCTTCTTCTTCTTCCCCAAGCGGTGGGCCACTGCAGTCAGAAAGTGTTCAGTGGTTTGGAACCCAGAGATGCCGTAATAACTAGAAATCTGAGGGAGGGAGGAAGGAGAGGAGTCATGAGTAAAGAAGAATGAAGGGCTCTCAGAGTGTGGCAGGGCATCAGCCAGGGGCCCCACTGTGTACCTCCTCCAGGTTGCAGCGCTGCAGGATGGTCTCCACCGGGGTCACAGGGTCTGCCAGCTTCTGCACGTGGATGCAGTTACGCAGGATGGTGCCCACCTCTGAATTGGGTCCTGGGACAATGCCTGGAGCATCCAGCAGCCTGATGAATTTGTCCAGGTAAACCTCTTGCATGAATCTGTGGCGGGAAAGAAAGAAGGCCTGGATGTATCTCTATAAACCCCAGTGACAATGTTGGGCAGGGGATGAGGGGACAGGTAAAGAAGGTTGCGGGGAGAGTGTCTTACAGATGAAGGTGGAGAGGTATAGGTCTGGGGAGCACTGGGGTCCCCAGCACAGACCTGGAACTGATTCTAATCTAGCCTCTGCCATTGGGGACTGAGCTGCAGGACCTTGAGCAAGTTTCTGACTCTCCAATCCTGAGGTGCTTGACTAAGAAATGGAGCTAATCTTGCATGGCTGTCAAGAGGTTTCAAGGAGCTAACTAGGAAGCTCCCAGCTGGGCCACCTGGGCCAGAGCTAGGGTGTGTCAGGTAAATGAGGGCTGTTAGTGAGACTCCCATGACCGGGAGAAGAACCAGAGGATGGTCCAAGATAAGGAAAGGGACAGGGGCTGAAGGCACGGGAGCCAGAGGGAATGGTAAGGCCAAGGAGTTATGGAGTGGGGGAGCAGGCAGATACTTACTTGGTGACCCCAGGAACAGCTCCCACACTGCACACACGGCTTCGCTTCAGGCTATTGATCAGGCTGCTCTTCCCAACATTGGGAAGGCCTATAAAGTAGCAGCAGGTGGCTCAGGGCCCTCAGGAACATTCAGGCCAGCCTGTTTGAGGGAGGCCCAGGCAGCAGCAATGGCCAGACCATGGGAAGCCAAAAATACAGCCTGGCCTCCTGCTTTCCTATGCCAGGCCCTGACCAAACCCCTACAGGGCCTTTTGACCTCTCTTCCATTTGTGAGCATGCTGAGTAGGCATGTCCACCACCTCCCACCCATAAACAGCCTGGGAGAGATGCTCCATGCAAGGCCTCAGTGACACAACCCAACAGAAGGTAGACATCAAGAAGTATCTGTGAAACACAGAAGTGAATGTTCTGGTGTGTAATTACCCCAGGGTGGGGAGGAGGGGTGTTCACCTCTAGATGGAGGTCTCTCTGTGCAGCTGTCTGCCTGTGGTGTGTGTTTTCCTGTTTAGGCATCTGAGAGACACTCCTGACCTGTGGATGTCTTTGGGTGTTTCTCCCTCACTGGGTCTCTCATTCTCACCGTTCTTTGTATGCACACATGTGTACAACTGTCTCACGTGTGTGCCTGGGACTCCTTGTGCGTAGAAGTCTCTGTACACCTCTCTTTCTCAGTGTGTCTTAGTCATTCTCATTCTAAATATCACTGCCTTTTTCCTTTTTTTGCCTTTCCCACTCAAGTCTATTTCTCTGTCATGTCTTGGTTCCTCTATGTATCTCTGTGTACGTCTATACCTAAGCACCTCTTTGCCTGCCAGTTTGTCTCTCCTTCTGGCCATTGTCCTTTCCCTCTGATTCTCCCCACCCTACCAATTCTGCCTCTTTGTAATTCCCTCCGTGCCAATTCCTATCTCTTTCTGTCCACATTCCTCCTCTCTGTGGACTTGTCTCTGTGTGTATATACCCCTTGTATGTTTCATTGTGTCTCTTCTCTCTCCTTATTTGTCTCCCTAACCCTCTCTCTGTATGTCTCTGTATCTGTCTCATCATAGACCTGTCTGTGTACTTGTCTCTGTGACTCTGGGTATGTGATTGTGTCTGAGGGTCATGGTACATCTAGGCACATGTGTCTCTCTCTGAAGCTCTATTTGCTATGGGGGAGCAGAGTGGGGGTGTGTGTGGGAAGGGCTTGACCTACATGTATTTTGCCTCCAGGTCTGTCTATCTCTAGACGTGCATCCTCTGGGTCTGCACATGTCTCCACACATGTGGATTTATATTTGTCTTTGTGGATATGGATGTGTTCTTTTGTGTCTACATCTTTGTTCTGGCCTGTTTCTGTGGCTATCTCTCTGAATCTATCTCTATCCCTGTGTATTTGTCTTTCTCTTTCTTTCTTTACATATGCATGTCTGCCTCTTTATACAAATACATGGAGTATCTCTATCCTTCTTATGACTCCCTTCGCAGGTCTCTGTACACATCTCTCTCTCAATGTCCCTTTTAGTATTTCTTCCTGATCATACCTCCCTCTCTCTGCATGCCTCTGTCATTTAAATTTGTTTCCCCTTTCCATTCCCCACCAACCCTGCCATCTGGCTTCCCTGTTCTTTTCAGTGTCTTCTTCTGTGTCTATTCAGGTATATGCACCTATACCTTCTCAGTGTTCAGCTCTCTCCAATGTGTTTCTCTCTTGGTTTCACTTTATCTCCCTGATATCTGTTTTTGCCTCTCTCAATTTCCCTATTCTCCTCCCACTATTTGCCCCCTCATTACACCAGGTTCCAGAAAGGCCCAGGTTTGAGCCTAAGCTCTGCCTTGTCACACAGGGCGGAGCTCCGTAAGTTCCTTTTCCCTTCTCTGGGCCTCTGTGCTCTCATCTATAAGAGGGGGATGGTCACCCCTCCCTCCCACAGCTCTGAGGATGAGATGGTGTCGACTGTCTGGCACCGAGCATTTGGTCCATTGTTCTAACACTCAATACACAGTAGTGATTCTGAGTATGCCTTCCCACGCCCACCAATCCAAGTTATAAATTACAAAACCCTTCCTGAACCTCTTCCCCAAAAAGGCAACACAAACTTCCCAGGATCCTTTCCCCCAGCAAAGTCTCTTCCCAAGGAAGGTGGCTGGGACCCATGACCCCTCGCCAGGCCTTACCCACGACGCCCACGCGGATGTGGGTGCGCACTTTGCCAAGACGACAATAGTTCCCCAGAACTCTCATGAGGTTCTCAGCTCCAAAGCAGGCTTTGCTTTTCAGCAACGACTCAGGGGCCTGCTCCACTGGCATACTGCACCGATTCTGGCAAAAGATATATTACAGAAGAAGCATCAGGTGGGAGATGTGGTCTCAGCCCAGATTTTCAACTCTCAGGGAAACTTTCAGGGCCTCCCTGTGATCACTGAGCTCCTCAGCCTAGAACAGAAGGCTTCTCCCACAGGCCCTGAACATCTGCCATTTCCCTGCTCCCTTCCACTGTCACTGCATCTCCAGTCTTCTCTGTTCCTGCCTCTACCTCAACACATACATCTCTTGCCTCTCTTAGCAGAGGCAGGAAGGCATCCTGGCTTTAGAAAGGCCAGGTTTTAGTTCCAGCTCTACTTCTCAGAGGACTAAGTCCAGCAAAGCCTGCTTCCCTTCTCCGGGCCTCAGAGCTTGTCGTGTGCACAAAAGCAATGCCCACTTTTCCTGCCTGTGCAGAAAGGAGCTTGTGCCTGGCCTACAGCCTATCTTCCCTTGATTCCTGACTATCCTCTGGGTATATTCCCAGAGGTGGGATTCGTCTATCCTCTGGGTATATTCCCAGAGGTGGGATAGCTGGGTCATATGGTAGATCTATCTGCAATGCCATCCCACGTCTATCTCTTTACTACTGTCCAGAATGCCCTTCTTCCTCTTCCCTTCCTTACTCAACATAGCATTCTTTCTAATACGCAAAATTAACCTAAATACCCATTGATAAGAAACAGGTTAAAAAGGTATAACCTTAAAAGTGGAATACAAATGAAATACAGCTGTTAGAAAAGGCTGCTTACCACATTTTTGCCATCAAACAGGCCAAAAGATTGTAAATGAGATATCATGTTTCTCAAAGATTTAAAAGTTTAATGCTATCAAGTGTTGGCAAGGGTATAAGGAAAGAAGCCCTCTCATACATTCCTCTACCCTGCTGGTGAAAGAATAAATTAATACAGCCATTTATGGAGGGCAATTTGTCAGTGTCTGCAAAAATGTAAACTGCATAAAGCCTATGACCCAGCCACTCCTCACCCTCAGTATCTCACCTACATAAACACTTGTCCGTATGCCAAGGAGACACGTACAACGGTGTTTATGGAACCACTTATTATAATGATGAAAAACTGGAAACTAATCTTATTCAACATCAAAAAAGGTGCATCTCTATAGAAATAGCTCCAAGAAAAGAAAAAGCAAGCCACAGAATAACACACGTAACACCTCCAAACAGTTATGCCCTTTTTATATATATTCATCCATGTACACATGACACAGAAAAAAAGTCTAGAAGGATACACACCAAACTGACAATGGTGGTTACCTCTGGGTATGGATAAAGGAGACTGGGATTAGAAAAGGATATTTGAGCTTTACCTGTAGTTGATTTTACTTTTTTTCCACTTTATTTTTTCTTAACACCTGGTACAAAATTGAAAAAAGGTCCCCCAGCACCCAATTTTTCTCCCGAGAAGTAGCCAATGTTTCTGTAATGATTTAATACTTTACAATGATTGTATAACCGCATTTTGTTATAAGTGATAACATTAGGAAGTAGTGTGATTTGTTTTAAACAGAAAAATGGAGGTATATACATATTTTTTTTTCTTTTTTGTGACCAGTAAGGGGATCGCAACCCTTGGCTTGGTGTTGCCCGCACCGTGCTCAGCCAGTGAGCACACCAGCCATCCCTATATAGGATCCAAACCCGCGGCGGGAGCGCTACTGCGCTCCCAGCACCACACTCTCCCGAGTAAGCCACGGAGTCACCCGGTACATACATTTTTTTATTTTTAATTTTATTTTGTCGATATACAATGTGGTTGATTATTGTGGCACATTACCAAAATCTCCCTCCCTCCTTCCTCTCCTCCCTCCCACCTTCTTCTCATCCCTCCCACCCAACAATGTCCTTTCCGTTTGCTTCTCGTATCAACTAGAAGGAACTGTAGTTGTTATGTCTTCCTCCCCCCCTGGTTTCGTGTGTGTGTGTGTGTGTGTGTGTGTGTGTGTGTGTCTGTGTGTGTGTGTGTACTCATTTATTTATTTTTAGCGACCACCAGTAAGTGAGAACATGTGGTATTTCTCTTTCTGTGCCTGACTTGTTTCACTTAATATAATTCTCTCAAGGTCCATCCATGTTGTTGCAAATGGCAGTATTTCATTCGTTTCTATAACTGAGTAATATACCATTGTGTAGGTATACCACATTTTCCGTATCCACTTATCCAATGATGGACATTTGGGCTGGTTCCAACTCTTGGCTATTGCAAAGAGTGCTGCAATGAACACTGGGGAACAGGTATACCTTCGACTTGATGATTTCCATTCCTCTGGGTATATTCCCAGAGGTGGGATAGCTGGGTCATATGGTAGATCAATCTGCAATTGCTTGAGGAACCTCCATACCATTTACCATGGAGGCTGCACCATCTTGCAGTCCCACCAACAATGTATGAGAGTACCTTTTTCTCTGCAACCTCGCCAGCATTTATTGTTCACAGTCGTTTGGATTTTAGCCATCCTAACTGGGGTGAGATGGTATCTCAGTGTAGTTTTGATTTGCATTTCCCGGATGCTGAGTGATGTTGAGCAATTTTTCATGTGTATGTTGGACATTTGTATATCTTCCTTAGAGAAATGCCTACTTAGCACTTTTCCCATTTTTTAATTGGGTTACTTGTTTTTTTCTTGTAAAGTTGTTTGAGTTCCTTGTATATTCTGCATATTAATCCTTTGTCAGATGCATATTTTGCAAATATTTTCTCCCACTCTGTTGGTTGTTTTTTAACTCTGTTAATTGTTTCTTTTGCTGTGCAGAAGCTCTTTAGTTTGATATAATCCCATTTGTTCACTTTTCCTTTGGTTGCCCGTGCTTGTGGGGTTGTATTTATGAAGTCTGTGTCCAGTCCAATTTCCTGAAGTGTTTCTCCTATGTTTTCTTTAAGAATTTTCACTGTTTCAGGGTGTATATTTAACTCTTTAATCCATTTTGAGTTGACTTTAGTCTATGGTGAAAGGTATAGGTCTAGTTTCATTCTCCTGCATATTGATATCCAGTTATCCCAGCACCATTTGCTACAGAGGCAGTCTCTTCCCCAGTGAATAGGCTTGGTGCCTTTGTCAAAGATCAGATGGCAGTAAGTGTGTGGGTTGATTTCTGGATTCTCTATTCTAATCCATAGATCAGTGTGTCTGTTTTTATGCCACTACGATACTGTTTTGGTTATTATACCTTTGTAGTATACTTTAAAGCCAGGTAGTGTTATACCTCCAGCTTTATTTTTTTTACTCAGCGTTGCTTTGGCTATGCGTGGTCTTTGTTATTCCATATAAATGTCTGGATAGTTCTTTCCATTTCTGAGAAAAATGTCATTGGAATTTTGATGGGGATTGCATTGAATTTGTATATCACTTTGGGTAGTATGGACATTTTCACTATGTTGATTCTTCCAATCCAAGAGCATGGGATATCTTTCCATCTTTTTGTATCCTCTCTAACTTCTCTCAGTAGTGGCTTATAGTTCTCATTATAGGGATTTTTCACATCCTTGGTTAACTCAATCAGTATTTTATTTTTTTGGTGGCTATTGTAAATGGGCAGGATTTCTTGATTTCTCTTTCTGCATGTTCACTATTGGAGAATAGAAATCCTACTGATTTTTGTGTGTTGATATTGTATCCTGCTACTGTGCTGAAATCATTTATCAACTCCAAGAGTTTCTTTGGAGAGGCTTTAGGCTGTTCAATATATAGGATCATGTCATCTGCAAAAAGGGACAGTTTGACTCCCTTTATTTCCTTCTCTTCTCTGAATGCCCTGGCTAGTACTTCCAACACTATGTTGAATAGGAGTGGTGAGAGTGGGCATCCTTGT